GTAAAAATAAGTGAGATATGTTGATCCACGTAGCAGAAATGCTAAGTCACAGCCTGAACCAGTGATTGAGCACCTGGTGGGAATGCAGGGCCAACCCATGGGAGCTCAGCAATGCACTGAGTGACTGGAAGGGGTGGAGCCAGGATCCACTCTTTCCCAGACCTTATTTAAGGGTTGGCAGTGGCGGTGGGAATATTTTGCTGGAGATCCTTGCATACCTGAGGCTTTCTGAAGGTAAGTAGTTTTTCTTCTTGGATTTCTGTGTCTATGGTTGTTGTATTTGGTCTCGTTCTCATTTGCTGTAATCTAGGAGTATGCCACCCCACTGTTACTGCTGTACTTTCTATTGTATTATCATATTACAACTGGATTTAATGAAAGAAATCTTGTCTCTTTCAGGCTGTAATACTATAGCAGTGCAACAAAGCCTAGTGGGCCCCAGTTCTTCTGTGTTAAGTCCTATACTCATAATGAACAAGTTATAAGCTGTAAGAAAATAAATAAAAAAGTCTAAACAAATAATTAAAGCAAGCTATGGGATCTTTATTGGGTTTAGGTTTTTTTGGGGGGAGGAGAAGGGGCTGGGGTGGAGGTCAGACTGTACTGGGGGCATTCACTACATAAATATCAAGTGTTAATAGTAATTGCCATTATTGCTTTTCTTCTATTTGTTATCTTGTATGCTGGATGCTAATTCTGAGCAGACTGGAAGGAATTTTCCCATTATCCATGTGAATCCTACATGTGGCTATAGCTGCGTGCAACCAATGTAAACTTGCATTAAAAATATCTTTTCAGTTAGAATTAATTGTTATTGTGGAAAGTGCCTTCGCTTTCACTGCACATATCACAGAAAGAATTATTTTTCTTACTATCTATGGTGATAAGTGTACCTCAGGCTTCTATTTTCTGTTTTGGACTTCTGAAATGATTCTTGTGGGTGTGTTTCTTTTTCTAAGCTACCAGCAAAAGACAAAGTACTTTATACTTACTTAAAAAGAGCATATTATTTCTTCATTAATACTTGCCTTTTGTGTGGCAAAGAGTTTGAGAGTTCACTGGGCTTCCTCTTCAGTATTTACTCTGTGGCTTGTGTGAGATGGATTCAGCAAAGGAAGGTTAAAAATGGCATCATACATAAAATGGCTGAAGCCAAGAGACATGGCTTCAATTATTAGGTCTTTGTCCTGTTCCTTGTGTAAACTTGGGGAACAAGTTCCCTTCTGGTCTCTTCCACATTTTTCTTTTCCTCTAATTTGCTTGACTGGCTTTGCATTGTGACTGCTTCAAATTTAGGACCTGATCCAGTTTTCAATATATACTGCCCTGCTGAACTGTGGTCTAGCTGGAAGCCCCTTATTGTTAGCTTAAGTGACATTAATAAAAGCAATTTTATGCTTCCAAGATAATTGTGTCAAGGATTAATCAAATCTTCATTACCTTTCGTAGTTTAGAGAAGCAGTATGGCATTGGGAAAGTTTTTCCTACTAATTAAATCGTAATATACTAGTCTATAGTAATAGAACTTTTCAAAATGACAGTGTTGGGAGTTATTAATTATGGATATCAGTGAGGATTGCCAGTCTTACGTATGGATATGGATTACACCAGTTACAATTATGGGTTCCAGTTACACTTGCACCTATAAGGTGCCTTTCTACCATATTTACATTAAGCTCTAGTGGAGAGTCTAAAGACTAACCCTAACCCTAAAGAGCATCATTGTCAGATTTTGGCCTAGCTACAGTATTCTTACCTTAAAACAAGAATTAAAACAAAGCAAAACAAACAAAAATCAAACAAGAAATGAAAATTAAACAGTAGGCTAAAACACTTCATTGTTGAGAATGAAGAAAATAAGGTGTTTACAATAAAGAAGTAAGAAATGTCTTGCAGTATAATTTGTAATATAAAAACATTTAGTTGAACATTTGAAAAAAAAAAAAAACTATTTCATTTAAAGTAAACATAATCTGTGAACTTCAGTGAAAATGCACTGCCCCATACATTCAGAACTCGGGCTCTGAAGGCTACATCTGGGATTTGTCTTGGGATGGGAGCCAACTTCTTTATCAGTCATCTGGACAATGGGATCAAGTGCACCTTCAGCAAATCTGCTGACCACACCAGTTGGAGTAGTGTAGTTGATATGGCAGAAGGAAAGGATGTCATTCAAAGGGACTGGACAAGCTTGAATTGGGCCCGTGTGAATCTAATGAGGTTCAACAAAGGTAAGTGCAAGGTGTTGCACTTGCGTTGGAGCAATCAGCGATATCTGTACAGACTGGGAAAACTCGCTGTGAGTAGCCCTATGGAGAAGTACTTGGGGATTCTGGTGGATGAAAAGCTTGCAGTGCCCACAGGTGGGTTGGAATTAGGAAATTTTTAAGGTTCCTTCAGCCTAAACCATTCTGTGATTCCACAGTTCTATGGTTCTAATTCAAGATGCGATGCCAACAACTACATTTGATATTCTTAATGCCTCTCTTTTATATTATACAGCTGAGAAGCCCTATGTTCACATATATAAGATATATTGTACTATCTTATAAAATACCATTTTGAGAAAGGTATTGTCATCATTCAAGACTCCATTGAAACAGCAGAAAAATCTTACCATCACTTTTTGACTAGAAGTTTTATCTATCTTCAAATTATATAGTCCAGAAAACTTTCCTAGTTTCAAAACTTGAAGAAATCTTGTTCAGAGACATGGGGATGAATGAGAAAACAATACTTTTTTTTTATAGGAGAGTCTTTTAAATGCAATCCAACAATGACTCTCCCATGCTTATGATTGGCTTTTCATGAGGACCTAGAAGAGGCATAACTGGTAATTGTTCTGGCTATAAAACCTCTCCTCTTGTAGATTCTTGCAATTCTTTTTTTAATAGTGTATTCTCCATTTATGCTTTCTTCTTGCTAGCCCAATATTCTCCTTTGATATGCTGGATCTTTTCTGCCTACAGATTCCTCCTCTGGGAAAAACGTTATGCCTGCACCTGACTCCCAGCTGGCCACACAGAAAGGTGTGTTGCTTCTTTGGCAAGTGCTTCTGTGACTTAGTGACACGATTGTGTTCTGGGAAGCATCTTGGAATTTTATATAGCACCAAAAAAGAATTAACTTTCTTACAACTGTTTCAACCAAAGTTCATGGAAATAACATAATACAGTTACAAAGTAATACTTTGTTTGGAACTCAGCATGATGCATAGATCATTTTTGATCAGGAGCCACCTAGCCAATACACAGTGCAACTACATCATGTTCACAGCAGCACTGAGGAACCATATGACTTAAGTTTGTCTTTCTGATATGTGTGCTTCTTTGATTTAAACCAAAATGTGCATAAAATTGAAATATAGCCTACCATATTGGATTATCAAATGATGCAAACATACTGCATGAAATGGAGATCATGGCCTCCTGCTTTGCTTATGTACATAGAGGATAAAAAAGTCTGCAAGAAGCAAAGCAGAATTAATCTTAATGTCCAAGACAGCATGAGCAGGATTTTTTTTTTGACAGCTGCATTAACTTGCTTGCTGCTGATCTTTGATATGTCACTGCAGTGAAGTCAGATCCTCAGCTCAGCTGAACCAGCTGAGGCCAAATCTCAAGAACAGGCTATTTGCTTTGTAGTTATCATCTCACAGCTATTAGTGCTGTTTGTCTTGTGACAGCGTATTGTGATCATGGACAAGAGAGGACAATTCACAGCTTGGAAGAAGGTGGAAGGACTCAGTTATTAGGGAAGTACTTCAGTATTCGTTCTACTGGCAGAGTAGAAGGGAAACTTGTCAGTTACAGCAGCTTACTTCTAAAGCTGTGAAATGAATGCTGCCCTTACAGTTCTTCTCTGCATGATCCCTGATCAGCAGGGATGTAGATATTATATATATTATGTATATTATTTCCTATATTCAGGTGTTTTTTATATGAATGACCTGATTTTAAATCCCTTGACTGTACACTTTCCCCCTCCTGTGCCTCTTGTTCTGTACACTCCCTATTTTTCTCTCTTTCACTCACACCACGCCAGTAAGTTATAAGTAGCTGAACTCAAAACCAAATGGGGACTGTTGATTTCATTAGTCTTTATATGAGCCCGAGGTCTATTAGACAGCACTGCCTGTGAAACATGAAGTACTGCCCTGACATACTGGCATAGGGGAGAGAGGTGTGATGTTATAAAGACTTCTATCTAGTGCATGGCAGTTGAAATCCCTCTCATGTTAAACATCACCAACTGAAACATACCACATGTCACACTTTCCAGGGTGGATTTATAAATACAGGTTCCTTCATGGAGCTGTCAGTCAGTTTCTTTTCTTCCCTTTGTATTCTGCATTTTATCCTACACATACAAAGAGTGAACTGCCATGAAAGAATAAGACTGCAGTTATCCCAGAGCCTCTGGGTATGGTTTGTGTACCCAGTTTCCAAGCTTCTTGTAAATCAGGTATATCCCTATTGTACATAATAGGCAGTGTAAAGTACTTTCTGCATGCTTTGTGCATCTCCATGAGCAAACAAATGTTGTGACCCCAAATCTTTTGGAAACATAACTTAATGCATTCATAGGCAGAGTAAGGAAGGACAGTTTTTTATTTGAGGAGAAGCGTGGAGCTGTGGTGGTCTGAGACAAGTGTGAAGTTCCCTATCTAGAGATTAGGGGTGCTAACTGATGAAACTGTCACCTCTCTTTACATGTGCTGTCACATGGTGACAACCACACAGAACTGTTATGCTGTTCCTCCCCTCCTGCTAGCTTGTGCGGTGCTCAGTAAGGAGTGGAGGGCCTGAAATTCCTATTTTTTTTCATTGAGCACCTGCAGGGGAATATTGAAGTTATCTCTTTAGCAAGATTGAAGGCTGAGGGTTGCATCCTCTTATTCCCCTGAGGGAATAACTGTAGGGTATGGTTGCCTGCCTCCATCCTTCTGACCTTGTTGGATGCAGTTCATCTAGACAGTTTAGTGACCATTCTAAATGTTTTTTTTCTTTGCTTGGTGCGTGAGCACTAGAAAAATGATAAACTGCATCTCTTCTTTTGGAGATGATAATTAACAGTGAGGTCCTTAGTGTACACTTTCTGTTCAACATTTGTTTAACACATAGTACAATGAAACATGCTGATAATTTTTGTATTATGCAATAAGAACAGAGCAGTTTACTTTCATAAGGAATCTACCGTTTTTCTTCCAGACCTCCCTGGTGACGAGGCTGGGAACTGACTTAGATGTATTAGCAGCTGTGAAGAGCAAAGTGTCCTTCAGTGTAACTCCTTTTCTGGCTGAAACCACCAGTGTCCAAGCAGGACAGTGGCACGTTCTTAGGCAGTCAAGCCTTGTATGTCTGTCTACAGCAAGCATAGCTCTTTGGAAAGCAACTGTCCTGTTTGTTCAGATTGACACTGTTCTGTAGAGAGCAGTAACATGGAACCTGGGTTGGGTTGGAAGGGACCTCAAAGCCCACCCAGCTCCAACCCCGTGCCATGGGCAGAGCTGCCACCCAGCAGCTGGGGCCCCGTCCGACCTGGCCTTGACTATCCCCAAGGATGGGGCACCACGGCTTCTCAGAGCAGCCGTGCCCGCACCTCACCACGCTCTCAGCGAAAATCCCCCTCTGACGTCTAATCTAAACCTCTCTTTTACTTTCAAGTCATTCCCGGTGTCCTAGCGCTATCAGACTGTGTAAGAAGTCGCCCCCCTTGGTGCTTTCAGGTGCCCTTCTCCTTCCTATTCTCTTCTGCCTTACCAGCTGACGGGCAGCACACGTGCACAGCCCCCGCTGTATTTTCTATTTACCGTTTTCTCAATCCGGGGGCTTGAGGACGCACTACTTCTAAGGCTGCGTTATGCGGCATTAATGACGCGCGTTCCTTACCCGTAGCTGCACCAATGGCCCCGCCCCCTCCACGCGCCGCTCCGCCGGCCTTATGACGTCACACGCACGTGACCGGTCGCGCTCGATGCTTTCTGACCCTGTGCAGCCGCCGTAGGGGCCGTCGGCAGTGCCGGGCGGTCGCCGCCATGGATTACCGCGCCGAGGTGATGAGGCAGGCCGTGCCCGGGCAGTTCGATGACGCGGAGTGCTCCGACGGGTACGTGGGCACGTAGCGGGGCGCGGAGGGCGCTGGGCTTTAGCGAGGTGGGGCGGCCCTGCTGGAGCCGTTCGGGTTTTGTTTGGAGTGATGGGGTCGTGCTGCTGAAGGCCGTTCTCTCTCCTCCTGTCACCATTACCCGAGAGATGAGGCCGCCTCTCACCTCGCCACAACCTCCTTTCAGGTACTTGTAGCGTGCGGTGAGGTTTCCATTGAGCCTTCTCTTCTCCAGGCTAAACAATCCCAGTTCCATCAGCCGCTCCCCTTAAGCCTTGTGCTCCACACCCTCATAGCCCTTCTCCACAGCTTCTTCCTTCTCCTCCACGTATTTCTGGTAGTGAGGGGCCCAAAACTGAACACAGTACTCACAGCATTCAGTACTTTAGACAGGTGAAGTGACAAGCATCTCCCGGAGAGCTAACATCCCAGAATTGCTTGCTGGGGTGGGTATACTGAATTTGTTGTAACCATAACAACCATTTGTAGTTATATCAGTTTGTATTTGTTCTAAGTGACCTTACAGAAGATGCAGAAACAATTCAGGAAGATGAGTTTGCTGAGAATTGCCAGTCAAGCTTATGCAAAGGAATCAACGTGAAGGAAGGAGATAGTGATGATGACAGTGCTGTTGAAGAGGAAGATGATGATGATGACTGGGATTGGGATGATGAGATGGGAAGACTCATGAAGTGCCACACTGCTGCTGGATGCAATCCGCAGGTATGCTGAAGGCTGTTCTCTGAGTAACAACAGTATCTTAAAGCAGATGAGACCCAGCGGTTTTGTCCTAATTAGTACTGAGCATCAGTTCCAGTGGAAATTGATCATTGAGAGAATCCTATTTCTTTGTATCTGTTGTTGTACCATGCTGTTTGTGCAGTCAAAGCTGCACTTGGCTTCCTTGTCTTAAACCTTTTTGCTGGGTTCTCCATGTCTTTGAAGTTTTCCTTCTGGTCCCTAACTTTCTCAGCCTTTCTTCCTTTGCTCACTCGTATCTCTGTTGATATTGCTTTTTATCCTGGAATTTATCCTCAGTGGTTTTTAAATGACTTCCCTACTCTTCCCACTGAATGTTATGACAGTATCTGCTTGCCACATCCATGAATTATGCTTTGGACTGTATTGTTTAGCTAGGTACCATGGAGCCACTGTATAGGTCTCTTCAGCAGGACAGGGAGGGGATAGAAACAAAAGAAAGAAAGAAAAAATGAGCCTTGTGGTTTTGAGATAAGAGGAGTTTAATATAAGAAAAAAAGCAAAGGCCATCTAGAAGCAAAAGAAGAAGCAATTATTCTCAACTTCCCATCATCAAACAATGTTCAGCCACTGTTGGGAAGCAAGACCTCTATAAGTGTAGTGGTTGGTCAGGAAGACAAACACTTTGATAATGAAAGTATAACATTGTATAGCATAGAATATTCTCCTGGTCAGTTTACATCAACTGTTCTGGACATGTCCCACCCCTCACCTGCTGGTCTTTGGAGGGAAAACTGGGGAGTCTTCATACTGTGTCAGCACTGTTCAGCCAAAACACTGCTGCAGTACCAACACTGTTAGAGCTACACATACAAAGCACAGCATTGCATGGGCTACTGTGGGAGCCATACCCAACTCTTTCTAATAGCAGTAATAATACAGGTGGAAGGAAGTGCTGGAAATGGGTGGATTTAGAATGAATGTTGTTGGTTTAGAAATTTAGTGCAGAATGCGAGGCCCATGAAGGTGTGAGAATTAAAGTCCTTTGTCCTCTCAGCTTGGCCAGTAGAGGTTCAAAATCTCTCTGTTACTGATATCAGTAACAGAATAGTTGAGATAAATGACAGTGGTGCTGATAGTGGTATATTGTCTGACTCAAAGCACCTGTGTGATTTACTCTTGCTTATTAGCATTTTTTGCTGTCCAGTGTTGGTGAAATAGTGTTCAGATACTGTGTTGTGTTTAGAGAAGACCATCTGTATTTAAAAAAAAAAAAAAAAAAAAAGCACCATCTTTGGAAGTTCTTTCTGTTCATCTCATTTTTTTTGTTCTTGTTTCTGTCTGTTACTACCTTTTATTTTAAAAGTGAAAAAGTGTTTATAGTTTGCAGGTCAATTTTCTAAAAGTATCTAAAAGTAACCCTGAATTGGGGCACTTTTTGGACTCCATTTCCTCACTCATTCTGGTTTTCTATTTAGAGCTACAAGCATACGCACTTGAGCTGACATTTCCAGTGGTATTGTCTGTATTTGAAAGGACTGTTTAGAGAAGGCAACTTACATTGACAAATTCTTTGTTTCAGGCAAATAGACAGACCCCTAGTTGCTATTCAGCAAAAATGTCTACCCCTACAGACAAGGCTTTGAGGAAATTTGAACATAAAATTAATTTAGGTGAGTATAATTGTGTTGTTGTCTTTTAAGAAAACAGATACCACTCTGTGAGATTTTCAGGCTAATTCTGCTTGCTTTAAGCCAGAATTTACTGAGATGGCAGCTGACTGTTGCCAGATAAATTATTAAGGGCTTTTGTGTACTTGAAATTGCCTTTAGTCTTTGTTAACCAGCTGTCATATCCCTTTTTCCACTCCTTCAGAGCCAGAGAATTCTTTTTCTCTTTACTTCCCCAGGTAACACAGAGAATTTGTTCCATAGCCTCTCTGTAGAAGCCCAAACAAGTTGTTTGGGCTGAGGGAGACTAGCAGCTTTCTGCTGCAATGCACTGGTCATTCTCTAAGGTGCTACTGCAGCTCAGTTTTCATAGAGGGTTGTGGTTCACTGTGGTTTTAGTATAGTACTTTGTGCAACATTATCTGACAGAGTTTTTGAGACAAGAGATTTCTCTCCTTTCTTGTGTACTTGTTTATCATGTGATTAAAATGGCTGCTCTGCTCAGCTTGTTAAGAAAAGTTGTAGCTGTGAGCGTGGCTTTTTAATGGAACAGTAAACAGTTGCATTTCCTTCATAATTAAGTGGTTCTAAAATGAAGGCTGCAAAGAGTGGTACTGGTATGTGTAGCCAAACAGCAGTTTTATGTAGTTAACAGTCGAGCACCATTTTGACTATGCTGTGGGAACAGAAACTTGGAGACTACTGTGTCCTCTGGCATTGGATTGGTATAAGAGAAGGGCAGACGAATTTAACAGTAAAATGTCATCCAAAGAACATTACTTCTGGTTAGCACTGCATCTCCAAGCTCATGAGACTACAATAGTTGTTGTTATGTTGTAGTCCTGCTTTGGAGTGTAGTCAAAGCAGATAGCTAGGTAACCTCATGTTTAACTAAACTTCTTTGATAAGCTTCTATCTTCAGGCAACCAATTGGCTTGTTATACAGAGATCCATCTGTGTTTGAACGTTGTGTTGTGGCACTGACTGTCAGGAGAATTGCAGAGGCAATAACAAACAGAAAAAAAAAAATTCTTTTCCTCTCCATATCTTATGTGTTTTTCAGATAAGCTGAATTTTGATGACTCTGTTATAAACCGAGTCACAGAAAAGTCTAGACAGAAGGAAGCAGACATGTGAGTATTACACTGTCTCTATACTCATTGATGTAATTTGAACTCAGAAGAGTTCTTATTATGCCCTGGTTTGATCCTGAAATTTAAATAAATTTATTAAGGAAAAGAAAACCAAGTTCTAAGCAAGCAGTCAGCATGCAGTTTGCATCTCAGTCTTAAACTTTTTTGATTTCCAGATCAGTTTCTTAAGTTATTCCAACGTTGTGATCTTCTTGTCCCTGAAGTGGAGACAAGAAACTATCTTTTACAGGGAAGGGCACTGATGCTTTTTGTGTTTCTTGTATTTTTTTTCTTGCCTGTAGGAGAAAACTTTGCTGTTGTATGAACTGAAAGCCTTCTTTTTTGAGGCTGTCATCTTCTCTTTGAATCAGAATGGTGTATTTTACTTTGTTCAAATATGTGTGGGTTTATATTGCTTTACTTTCTCTAGGTGCCGAGTCAAAGATAAATCAGACAGAGCAACAGTAGAGCAAGTAAGTCCTTAGTGCATCAAATTTCTCTTTTGACTGGAATAAATAATCTGGAATCTTGAAATCATTGGTAAAACAGCTAATGCAGGAGAAGCTTTGCTGTGGAATTCAGTTTCCCTTCTTACCCTAAAGAAGCCTGTTGTTCCTCTCTTTCTTATATGAAAGTTGTGCTTGTTCCCATAGCTGTTTTGGGGCTAATTTTTGTGCTGAGCATCATGATTTGGTGGTATATGCAATGCAGAATTCCATTTTAAGCATTTATTGAATTCTGAGCATCAAACAGAAAAAGCTGGGTTTACTTTCTTCCTTTTTTTTTTTCTTAAGGAAGGCTGAACTATTACTGGCCCAAGGCTTTATAGCTATTCCATTTAAGTTATGTCTGTTATACCTTATTTTACTATCTGATGCAACTGTAAGTGGAAAATCATTCTCTTAAGTCTGTTGTGAAGCTAGCTCAAGGACATACACTTGTCCTAATTTTTACTTTTTTTGAAATAAATTGAAGTATCATTGTAGAATCATGGCAAAGTCCGGTGTGGCAGCTGTTTGAGTTATTGTTTGATCCTTAAGAATAGCTTGATGTCATTGGTCCTTTACTATAGTACTAAGAATGGGCTGTATAAGTAAGCTTAATTTTCTTCATAGAAGGCAGTTGTGGTGACTGTTCTTTGTTTAACTTGAGGTGTTGGACCCAAGGACCCGAATGATTCTGTTCAAGATGCTGAGTAGAGGTGTCATATCAGAGATCAATGGCTGCATCAGCACAGGGAAAGAAGTAAGTGTTGTTACAAATGATGTGGTAGTCTTTTTCTCAGCAAGCTAAGTAAGGTATATATTGAAATGTTTAGTTTTCCTGCTGTTATTTTTATTTGTTACTCAGTAGGAAGTTATTTTAAGATAAATTAAAGGAAATCAGTTTCCCCAACAATGAAGAATTGCTCAGAATACTTAAATTTGCCATTCATCCTGTGCTGCAACTGAAATTTTTTACAAACTCTATGTGTATGTATAATATTAAACAGTGCTTGAAAGGCATACAAGTGTAGGCAGTTCTTTCTTCACACAGTATTATTGCATGTGGATCATATTAGTTCTGCATCTCTTCAGGAGTGGGAGTATCTAATAATGTAACAAAATGTAGTTTAAAGTACTGTTTTACAAAACTAGCATGTTTATGCACTGCTATTATCAAGTTATATGACAGATAATTAAAACCATACCAGAGTTTTCCAAGTAAATTAATTAATGGGTTTTAGGATGCTTTGTCTCTGGGCTGATCTGGTTTTCTTCCAGGTCCTTGGAAGGCTGATTAAAGGCATGCTTCCACCCTGTGTGATGGTGTCAACATGATATGCTTGGGCCATGCTTTAGGGCCTAAGTAGGGCACGAGTTCCAGTTAGTGTCTGCACAAAGAAGGTTGTTTCAATCTCAAAATGTGGATTCTCTAGTTTGTTCTGTGTGCATGCTCACACTGTTGCTGTCTTAGGTACTTATTTGTAAGCTGTCTCTGGTAGAAAGAGATTGCAAAGCATAAAATCTTACAGACTCAGCTGAGTGGCACATGGGGGCTGAAAGGCAGAGGCTTCTCAGATATTTTCCATAATGTCAGAAGAAGAAAGCAGATTGTGTCAACTTAAGGCTTTTCTTCAGTGATGTTTCTTCCATTTTTAATCCGATAGGCTAATGTGTACCATGCCAGTACTGCAAACGGAGAGAATAGAGCAATAAAGATTTACAAAACCTCTATTCTGATGTTCAAGGATCGGGATAAGTATGTGAGCGGTGAGTTCAGGTGAGTTGGAGTTTGGCCTCATTTTGTTGAGCAAGAGAGGTTGTATGAAAGGTGGTGAAATGACTAACACTAATACTGCATTGATTTGCTAAGGGTCCTATTTATTTCTTTTATTTACATGTTTTAAGATTTCGTCATGGATATTGTAAAGGCAACCCAAGAAAAATGGTGAAGACGTGGGCTGAAAAGGAAATGAGGAATTTAATAAGGTGATTGTTCCAGTTTTTATTTCATCATCAAAGGTAACAAATTGACATTACAGGAGATGTTCTTCTATTGCTTGGTCATGGATGTTACTACACTTTATGGTCTCTGGAGTATTCAGAAGAGTGTCTTAATCTTCCTTGTGGGAAGGAAGAGAAGAGGGGGAAAGATGAATCACAGAATGGCCAGGGTTGGAAGGGACCTCAAGGATCATGAATCTCCAACCCCCCTGCCACATGCGGGGCCACCAGCCTCCCCATTTAATACTAGACCAGGCTGTCCAGGGCCCCATCCAACCTGCCCTGAATACCTCCAAGGATGGGGCATCCACAACCTCTCTGGGCAGCCTGTTCCAGTACCTCACCACTCTCTCTGTAAAGAACTTCCCGCTGACATCCAACCTAAATCTTTCCTCCCTCAACTTAAAACCATTTCCCTGCTGTTGTCTACCCTTTCAAAGAGTTGACTCTCCTCCTATTTGTAGGCTCTCTTTAGGTACTGAAAGGCTGCAATGGGGTCACCCCGCAGCCTTCTTTTCTCCAGGCTGAACAAGCCCAGCTCCTTCACCCTGTTTTTGTAGGAGAGGTGCTCCAGCTTCTGATCATCTTTGTGGCTCTCCTCTGGACCCTCTCCAACAGCTCCCTCTCTTTCTTGTACTGGGGGCTCCAGGTCTGGACACAGTACTCCAGATGGGGCCTCACAAGAGCAGAGTAGAGGGGGACAGTCACTTCCCTGTCCCTGCTGGCCACCCCTCTTCTGATGGAGCCCAGGATACCGTTTGCTTTCTGAGCTGCAAGAGCACACTGCTGGCTCATGTTAAGTGAAATAAAGATACTTCTCTCTCTGGCTGTTTGCGCTCTGAGCTCTTTGATGTGTACACTCTCTTGACTGAAAAGAGAGGAGGAGCTAGAAACAGCTGCTGCTGAGTAACAGTGCACTGTTTAATACAAGTTAATCCTAGATTAGCAGTGCAAAGATTCTGTCTGGCCCAGGGATGCTTAGAGAAGGATCAGTGCAGAATGATTGTGGGTTTGGTTTTTTTTTTGCATCCAATTTTCAATTAGTCTCTGTATCTATGAGTTCCTTGAGCAGAAGAACTCTTTTATGGTGTCTGATGATTAAAGCAACAGAGCTGCTGTAGGTGCTATTGCAATGCAAATAGTAGAGTTAGTTTGTATTTATCTTTTTTTATGATTTTGTTCCTGTATTGCAGGTTGAATACAGCACAAATACCTTGCCCAGAGCCAATTATGCTAAGAAGTCATGTGCTTCTCATGGGCTTTATTGGTAAGGGTGATAGGTATGTATCCTTTGAAAATCAAAATGATTCTTCTTATTTGTAGCTTTCCACAAAGATTTATTAAAAACAAACCAGTTAAAAACAAACCAGTGCTTTATGTACTATTTCTTTAGGCCTCTAAATTTAACATGTTGCTCTTATGTGTGTATGCCACCTGCAGAGTACCCAGATCTTTGCCAGCTACTGCAGTAGAAAGTCTTCATGATTCTGGAACAATCCTAACCAGAGAACAAGGGCTAGAAAGGCTTCCTAATTTCATCTGAAGATAGATTATCATTTTGTAGTGCAAACATTAAGATAGCACAGCCTGACTTCTTAGCTCATGTTGGAAGCAGAGCTACTATGTCTTTGGCAAGCATGTACCAAGCTTTGCTGCCTTTCATGCTAATTTGCTTGACATGCAGAGTGAAAGGATCAGGTACAGCAATTAACATTTGTGGCTGATGTGAAGAAGAAGAAAAGTACTCACTTTCTATTATTTCTGTTGCAATTTTAAGGCCTGCTCCTCTGCTGAAGAATGCTCAGTTATCTGACTCAAAAGTCCGGGAGCTGTACCTGCAAATCATCCAGTACATGAGAAGAATGTACCAAGATGCCAGACTTGTTCATGCAGATCTCAGTGAATTCAATATGCTGTATGTTTTTAACCTTTGAATTGTGACATCTTAAATGTATGTGTTGGCAACCTCTTTGCATAAATTTAGGGAGTACTAACCTGCCTGTGAGGGAGGGTGGAGTCCTTTTTGTGACTGTTTATCAGCTTATCAATTATGTAGCTTTTAACCCAACCCCACACCACTCAGGCTCTAGTATGTGAGATGCATTCTTGAGAAATACGTTAAGTTTGCTGGTTCATAAGATTGAAACACGCTTTGTTCCCTGTCCCTCAATAATCTCCCATGTAAGAGTATTGGGTGCAGTGCAGCCCTGCATGTTTATCCACAGGTACCACAGTGGGGATGTGTACATCATTGATGTGTCTCAGGCAGTGGAGCATGACCACCCGCATGCATTGGAGTTTCTGCGAAAGGATTGTGCCAATGTTAATGGTGAGCAGGCTGCATTTACGTGCTTGTTTTGATAGATGATTTTGTCAGTGTTTTCTTTGTGTGTGTGTTTGTTTTTAAGAAGGTGAACTGTATTCTTTCTTACATTCTCTGAGTTATATATAACTCTGGCTGTAGAAGCTGCCTGCTTTCCTTCTTAGGTTCTTATGGGTTGTTCAGGGTGCTGTCTTCTATGCCAAGTTCAGCAGACAGTGTGGTGTATTTTGCTAGAAATCATCTGCATCTCAGATTAACAAGAGAAAGAAGCCGTAGTCTGCAGCAGCACCTGCACTGATCTTAACTTCCCTTACATTTGAAGGACTGTACTGATCTGTGTCCTTCTGTGAGTGTGTAATCCACAGCTGGAATTCCTCAATTGGCAAGAGTTGTATCACAAAGTTCCTTTCCCTTATTTGTCAGGTCAGCTTAGAAGGTAAAGGCATAGAGTAATTTATTAGAGGTCATAGACTTGTACTTTGATTAACAGGATACCTTTATGGTATTTTTGGCTAAAAAATGTTACGTTCATGGGAATGTACTTATGTTATGCAAGAGACAAAGATGTTCTGGTAATCTATGTTTCTGCCCAAGAAGTGAAATCTGTCACAGCAGCCTGGTTTCCCCTCCCCCCTTTTCTTTACTACAATTTTTCCAATTGTACAGAGACATTTGAAAGTCTGAAGAAATCGTGTATTTGTCAGTACTCAGTATGCTAATTGTTCATTTTTTCTCTTTTCTTCTTTGCCCTCTCCATTACTCCCTTCTGACTCAGATATTTGCTCTTTTTTTTTTAATGCTTTTTTGGCTTGTTTTCCCTAAATGCCATTGCCACAGTGACTTGCAGTGTTCTTGGTAGTTTTTCTTTTTTTTTCTGCCACTGCAGCTTTCTCTGCAGTTCTCCTAAGAGGCTGTAAAAGACACCTTCTAGCTGTGGGCATTGCTAAGACTTGTGGTTCCATGAGCACGGAGAGCTGCCACCAAACTAAATTTGTTTGTTGTTTGTTCTGTGATTAATTTCTCATGGGGGAGATATCTTCTAAGATCGTTAGTAGAGAGCAATTACTAAGCAGTCCTTAGTGTGTTTCACTGCTCTTTTTCAGTACTAAAGCAAAACCTCCAAAATCATTTATGCTTGACTCAAGAAAGCAATTCTGAGTATGGTAACTGAGAAAAATTCTGATGTGTTAGTGTGTTCCATGTGTCTTTCCATTCAGATGGGTTATAAGCAGGCTGTACTGTTTCAGTGGGTATTTCAGATACTCTTTGACAGGAGTTTGAGGACTACATTCCTTATTTGAAATAAATTTTTCATCTCAGCCACTGCAAATATTTAAATTTATCTCAAATTGTTTGCTTCCTTCTCTTCATCCCCTACTCCATTCCGCACGGCTCCTACTGAAGTTGATTTGACTTCGTAGTTACTCGCTTTGATTCTTTCAGTATTTATCGCTTTGGGAAAATTATGCTGTTATGTTGTTGTAACTATCACTGCTGCATATATTGCATAACACTTACAGTCTTTTGTCTCTGCCCTTGATTTCTGATAGGCTTTTTCCAGAAGCGTAATGTTGCAGTGATGACTGTGAGGGAACTGTTTGAGTTTATTACCGATCCTTCTATCACAAGTGAGAACATTGATGACTATCTCTCAAAGGTAAGAGCACACGGCATTGTTGCTCACATAGGTAGACTTGAATGATAAACTAAGAACTAGTTCAAACCCCTTCATTTTGTTTGCTCTATATCCTGCTGTTGAAGCTGGCTGGTAAATGATGGTGGATGTTCTGCAGGTGAACGCAGGGTGGGTTGAGTGGAGAAGAGAATGACTCAAAGCAATGTTATTGGGGGGGGGAATGGTTTTAAACTGAGACAGGGGAGGCTTAGGTTAGATATTAGGAGGAAGTTTTTCACGCAGAGGGTGGTGATACACTGGAATAGGTTGCCCAAGGAGATTGTGGATGCCCCATCCCTGGAGGCCTTCAAGGCCAGGCTGGATGTGGCTCTGGGCAGCCTGGTCTGCTGGTTGGTGACCGCAGGGTCACAATAGCAGGGGGGTTGAAACTAGGTGATCACTGTGGTCCTTTTCAACTGAGACCATTCTATGATTCTACTCCAGAGCAGTCTTACTAGCCCAGTATAGTGACTGATGGGACATCCTCATTCTAGGAAGTGGTAAACTTGCTTGGTCCTGCTGGCAGCACCCATGCGTTTCATACGTGGCAGTCAATACTCTGCTCCAATTAAATGTTTCTTTAAAAAAAGAGGAAGGAAAATTAAGAACAAACAAACCCCACAAACCAACCAAATATGGTGATCCAAATACCACTATGGCGTGGGGATTACCAGATGTTGTGTTCTTTCCCTCATACTGGAGGCTGAGTGAAGTAGAGCTATGCTGTATCATTTCCCTTTACGTGTGCTCCTTTGACTCACTCAATAGTGAGTGCCCAATAGTGAGAAGAGCATATTCTAGGACTAGGCACTGCTCACTGTGTTCCCCTTCCTGTTATCTCTTGTAGCAAGTCTAGCATTACTGCATTACTACAATTTGGTTTAGAGGGAGCTGCAAACTTGATACCCTCTAATTAATAAACCAGATCTGCAGTTCTACGTGTGCTTGCAGAAACGTTGGTTACCATTAGGTGTCGCTCAAGGCATTGCTATAGGGAAGCTTTGTGAGTGAGACCGAAGTGCAGGGAGAAATACATACAGATGGGAATGGTTAGTTGGATTAAACGATGTGATTCTAAAGAGTGATAACTGTATTGTTTTCTATTTCTTTAGGCAATGGAAATAGCATCAAAAAGAACAGAGGAGGAAAGATCCAGTCAAGATAAAGTGGATGAGGAAGTGAGGATTTTTGTTCCTGCTGTGAAATGAAAATTAGTCTGTCCTCTTCTGAACAATGAAAACTGTTGTTTTATTTGGCAAAATGCACCGTTGATAAACAAAACACTGTGATACTGATATGTCCTGAACTAGTTGAGATATGAAGGATTGAGCTTAAGTGACATTGATCAGGTGCTAAAAGGCAAATACTCAGTTACCTAAACTGCTATGTTTGCTTGTAGCTAGGTCCCTTGATGTATCTTCCACTTCAAGTTTAGTTAAAAACAAGTAAAACCCAACTAAGTGGAAATCTGGTTGTGTCAGTGTTTTCGGACTGGTGATACAGACCAGGAGAATTCACATCATATTCAGATGCATGCATTGACCAAACTGCTTGTCTGCCATTGCTCCCAGTCTACTTCATTTCTTCCACATACTATTTCCCTCCCTTGCTTTTACATATAGCAGGAGCCATCTTAAGTCTTTTCTGCTGGTATTTTTGAAAACTACTGATGTTCTGGGAAAAGATGATGTAAACATGAAACAATCTTAATTTGTTTTTTTTTATCTTACCTGTCCAGCTGAGAAGGGTTTAAAAACCAAAATATCACCACTCACAAATACAACAACACCTTAGTGTTGGGCAGAGCTTGTATCACCAAGAACCTCTTTGTTCTAGTTCACCCAGCATTTAACCTTGGAGTCTGTGTTGCTTGATATACCAAAGACATTTTCTCTTGGAGCTCTGTAGGTTTTACTAACTGCTTCTGGCTCAAGCTTGGCCTGTTAAAGATTTTTGTTTTCAGAGATATCTGGAGCATACAAATTCCTTTTGAATTAGAGGGTCAGATGTTAGTCTTTTATTGTAAGTGCTCTTTAGCAAACAGTTTATCCCTTTGCAGATGTGAATGTACTGTCCTGTAAGAGATGGTTAAGTTATAGCAAAGTTCAAGTTCCTTCTCAGAGTTCTCAGTTTAGAGAAGAGTCTGAGAGAGTGTTAAACTAGCTTGTACCACTTCTCAGAGAGGAGCAGATGATTTAGAGCATGCTCTTTGAAGACAGCGTCTGTGCTGTCTGCACAACACTTAGTCTTGTGGTTAAAAGTGTGCTTGATTTGTTCTAGGATTGAACTGATACTACAGAAGAGAAAAATAAAATGCTTCAGTCTGATCTAGTAGTGATTTAAGTTTGCTGCAGGACGCTCTGAAAACTATCGCCTGACAAATTTTAAGTGTGTTGTTGATGCTGCAGTTAGGTTCCTGCACCAGTATAGTACTGTAAAACCTTTTTGAGTTGGAGCGTATGTTGAAGCAGAAATTATTACATAAAGACATTAAGTTGTATCAGCATGTTATAATGGAATTGTCTCCTGAGAGCTTTGCGAACATAACAGTAAAAACATTGGGGAAAATTCTTAGAATATGAAACTCAATTTGGTTGAGAGGAAGTTGGAAGGATTGGAGAAGTTCCTACATGGCTGCTAGTAATGATACTAACATAGGGGCCTTATTAATGATGAGCTGCAATGGTGCATAGGAGGTTGCATGTGAAGAATCTAATCCAGCAAAATAAATAGTAATGACCTGCAGTTCAAATGGTGGTTTGTGACTTTGTGTTTGTTCTGAGATTCTCTAAGCTAAGAAATCCCTTGTGACTGTTCCTTTAGTAATGCTCATGAAACTGTAAATCACAAAATCTGTTTTCCCTTTGCTTTCCTAGGTGTTTAAGAAGGCTTACATACCTCGAACATTGACTGAAGTTAAAAACTATGAGAGAGATGTGGATATAATGATGAAATTGAAAGAAGAGGATTTGGCATTGTGTGTTCAGCAAGATAATGTGAGTGTGTGTGTGTGTATGTGGTGTAGAGTACTGAATCTAGTGTCATACTTCCAATTCTCTGGTCAGTACTGATGCTTACATTGCTATCTCTTTTTTGAGACACTCATTTTCCTTGGGTAAAAAGATGTAAGGCTTGCATTTCGGTAAAATAACTTTGTTTCTGTGTCTCTAAATGTAGATTCTCTACCAGACTGTGACAGGATTGAAGAAGGATTTGTCTGGTGTTCAGAAGGTGAGAGGGCCTCTTTGAAATCCTTCATCTTAGCCATTTTCATAAAAATACTTACAGGAATACAGAGAATGCCTCATCTTGCAGCTGTGACCACGGAACAAGCCTTTGGTCTATGGAGTGACTGTTTCTGCCCATTATGTGGCAGTGATGTAGACTAAATGGAAATATAAATCAGGGAAGGGATCAGGCTGTGGCACAGTTCCTAGTGTTGTTTAAGAGTGAGCGTGTTTTGCAGCGTAGATACTTGTGTTTGCAATAAAGCCTATGTACAGTGGCCCCAAGGTAGATTTTGGTATGATCCGACTGTAATTAAAAATTGGCTTTCATCTGTGTTAGTGAATTGTTGTAGAACTTATGGAAGTCAGTTTGGGAGTGCCAGTACATCTGTGCTGTGAGCCCTAACCTTAAAGTTCCTGTGTTGTATATTTTAGATATCCTATTCTTAGTTTGAATTAACCTCTTTTTGATTCTTCTTGAGACTCAGTGATAGCTCTAGTAACAGAGGAGATGACACAAGTTTGATCAAGGGTTTCTTTGTAGAAGATTATAGATATATAGGCATGTATATTAAAAAATATATATATTTTACTCTTAGGTTCCAGAGTTTGGGTTTGAGATAAACTCCCTCTTGATACATCTTGCAGATTCCTGCACTTCTAGAAAAGAAGACAGATGAGTCAGAAGTAAGCTCTGATGATGGTGATGGCAGCTCAGAGGACTCTGATTCAAGCTGTAAAGAATCTCGGCATCCCAAAGATCTTCCTGCTGCAGTTACTATGGATAAAAAGGTCAGTTGTCCTGAAATTGTACGTTTTTTCCTGTATCTGCCCACATGACAGGAAAAATCTACACCTCGTTTGTCCTACTTGTAGTCTGAAACAAGCTGTGAGCTTTTTCCTCTCTGAAGAGCAAGAGCAGAGAAAGCAAATTTCATTATGGATGCTTTATTAATGATGTTTTTGTCAAGAGGAACATTATACTATAGCATTCTCTAGCCTAAACAAAGCTAGAAGAGAGATCTCTGCAGAGAGCTTTAGGGCTATGCAAAGCAGAGCTTAGTGGAACCTGGATGGATCTTCAGTCCCTCTGGCTAATCTTCCAGGCTTTGGTGTGCAGGTTGGTGGACAAGGCTCCTGGTGAACCACCCTCTGTCCAGGAAACTGAGACCACCTGATCTGTGCAGCTGGAGACTTGGTGACAGTGTTTGTACTGCAGTGGCTTTTGTCATACTGTTGGTACAGACTGACAAGCATTGCTGCAGGGAGAAGACTGAAAGCAGGTGTGCAAAGGAAATAACATGTTGTTCAGGTTTTGCTTTCCAAACTACAGAACAAATGTCCTCAGTTCTTGTGATGCTGTTCTGTGGAGTATCCCCCATGGGTGAGAGCCTTGTGGCAGCTTTTTAGGTGCTGTGGAAAAGAAAGATGAAACTTGCTGGGTTTAAGATATTAGAGTTGTGGGGGCTTGTTTGTTAGATTTGTGGGTTTGTTTATTTTTTTTTTCTTTTCTCCCTTAGGAAAGATAGTGGGCTTCAAATCCATGAAATAAAATGGCAGTGCTCTTTTAGATGCTTTTTGTACCAATCTAAAGCTGCTACCTTTCAGATCTGAAGCAGGGAAGCCTTGGTCACGTCTCAGCCTTGTAGATAAGTCTTTACTGTCTAGCAGGAATTCCAGTATTGCAGTCATGTAGCACCCTTTCTAGCCAATCCTGATGATGATTGGATTGCTCTGAGTTACCAGGAGTTACTAGATCACTATTTTTGTTTGAGTAAAAACACATCCTACTGTCGCCCTAGAAAACTTGGATCAGGCTTTCTATTGGAATCTTTGCTATAAATAGCATGAATTGAGTGCTTCTTGTTGCTTTTCTTCAAAGGTTGCATGAAAGTCAGGTTTTAACTAGTTTGAATTTTGTACTGTCATTACCAGTGTGCAATTCCACCCCCACATTATACTTCCTTTTTCCTTTCCTCTCCCCACTCCCAAAGTTATTTTCATTAAAGCTGCATTTTTGATGTGACGTATTAATTAACTTAAAGATTGATAGGCCTGCTCACGACCTCCTATTCCTGCTGGCTTTGAATGAATGGTGTTTTGGTTCTTCATAGGAGAGGAAAAAGATGGTTAAAGAAGCCCAAAGAGAAAAGAGAAAAACCAAAGTCCCAAAGCATGTGAAGAAGCGGAGAGAGAAGACTGCGAAAATGAAGAAGGGCAAATAAGATCAACTTTGGCTTGGGAAATGGACTGATTTGTTTCTGGTTAATGAGTCACCTTCTTTTGTAATTAAAAATCCTTTATTTACATACATACAGTTCTAACTGTGAGGGTGGTCTCAGTGGCAGTGTGGTGTGATTATTTGAACAGAATTTATGCTGTGGCTTTAGCAACAGGAAGGAACAAATTTAACGCATTTGAGCTTTTAAAAATCCTTTTCACATGCAGATTCAACTTGTTGTTAAACTGGCATTGATTTGTTTGTAGCATCTTCCTCTCTTGTCTTACACTGTATGTGTGCTGCCAGAGCATTGATTTGATTCAAACAGATTCTTGGAGGAGGGGGGAACAACAAAGATGGGAAAACTACTTCAAGTAAAGGCCCTTACAGTGCTTCTGTACTGTGAAGGCAGCAACTTAAGCTAGCTGTCCTCTACAGGCTGTTGCAGCTGTCTGCAGGTAACCTTGCTGCCTCTCTGTGCTTTCATCACCTTTTGATGTTATCTTGCTGAAAGCTGAGTTTCATGATTTGGGAGGCAACTTTATTCACTGCCCTGTTCCCTTTTGAAGCAACCAGACAGGCATACTTAAACAGACTAAAGCTGTGATACGTGTGTGTGTGTGTGTGTGTGTGTGTGTGTTGACCCCAGCATGGGGCAGTGTTGCTCTGAAGGGAAGTAGGACACACCTTTTTGTAGGCTGGCCAAATGAATATTTGACATCAAGATTGCATTTGTTCAAATTCACGGTGGAAAAACTGTGGTGGGAGCTGTTTGTGGTGTGCCTCAGCGTTACCAGTCCATGTGCTAAGGTGTATATAGTGTGGAGCTGGCAGAGTTTGAAAAGTCCTTTATGTTGGAGCAAAGGTGCCATACAAAGGTGCCATATTTAAAACCTCTTCTCTTGGCAGCTATTTGGGCCACTGAGGCTGACAGAAGCCTTGAGAGAGGTGTCGTCCTTGTTCATCAGTCATCTTTTCCTGCTGTCAACAGTTTCAGGACTTCCTGTGCCAGCACAGACAAGGGCTCTGAGTTCAGTAAAAAATCTTTTTTTGTTGTTTTTGTTTTGCCATTTTAGGGGTGGAGTTGATGCCCTGGGGGTTACACTTATGGGACACACATTGTTTGATGATAGAAGAAGGCTGTTATCCATCAGCAGGCATCAAGCAATGATGGGTTGGCCAGAGGCAGGATGAAGCTTCCTTCTTTGTTCTTCCCCTTCCGCACCCATAAGAGATTGCAGGATGGTCACGGGCAAAGACTGAGATGTTGGCCAATTGCACACATGGTTGCTCCGCTAAGGAGCACATTTCCTCAAAGAAATGTGGTCTGGTTGCACTCCTCAGGTTGACCTCTACAACCTCTTATGTTCCTTTGGTTAGAATTATGGTCAGTGCATCCAGACACCTCCCTCCTTTTCTCCCTGTCCCCACAGGGACTGACAGACTGTTACGTACAGTGTTTATGTAAGTGAAGATGGGATTGCTGGAACATGTTGGGAAGCAAGACTGGTTTTGCCTCAGCAGGTCGGGATGTTTGTTGGGAGACCGTGGAAAAAACACATGCAGTTTGGAAAACATTACATCGGGTGCAAGAAAGGTGACTTAGTAGTGAAGGAAAGGAGGGGTATAAGACCCATGTCCTGAGATGAGCAAGTACTGTTGATGGCAAAATTAGTCCTACTAGCTGCATGGACATATTTTGTTTTTGCTTGCCATCGTGGGAACTTACATAGTAACTATCAGGCAAGTTGGCCTTCGTGATATCTGCAATTAATATGGTTGGTGGTTGTCATCTTGAATGCAAAAGGTCTTGTACACTTTGCCATTGAATCGCATTGTATCAGTCACTTTTCTCTGCTCACAGACTAACAACTCTTTGGTGTATCAGTGATAACATCCACATTTCATGAAAGTGATACACTGGGAAGTGAGGGGGGAAGGCTGGAGGTGTTGTCAGGGAGTTGTGTCCCTTCTATGCTTTCCTCTAGCAAGGAGTTGTGCACTGGGCAAACCTCAGTGTGTTTTGTGAAGCGGGCCAAGCCTGAGTGAATCTCTGACAAACTCTGCATGCTCTAAGTTCAAGTAGGCCACCAGTGGGCTTCTCTGCTAGAAAACTGGTTCGTGGCTGGCTGTGAGCCTGGGGTTGCCAGATGCAGAGGCAGCCCCATTTTCTTTGGGAACTGTGTGCTCTGAAGATGAGGGTAAATACTGGATCTTAGTGTTGGGCCTGGAAGCTACTGACCCAGAGCGTGTGTGCCACTAAGGGCTTTTGCCTTCCTTACCTGAGGAAGCACTTCAGAAAATGGAGGCTGCTGTGATCAGGGCTTGAGGGAAGAACCCAGCTCACATAGCCTTGTCTCCCCTCCAGGCTGTGTTGCACAGCCTGATCAAGTTTGCCCAGCTCTAGCCATCCTGTAGTGTGAAGGTGGGCCTGAATCATCTGTTTAGGAGCATTGCTTGCAGCTGTGTGCCACAGGACTACCTGAGAAGGCTATGCAAAGCTGACTTTCTGCCTCAGGTGCTTTTCTCTAGGTATGTAGTCTAGGTATTTGCAAAGCATCTGTGGAGGAGCATGCCAGAAGAGCCTGTGTTTTGCAAGTGCAGGTGACCTGAGGATAACTTGCAGCTGGGTATGCATTTGTTGAGGTGGGCTGTGAGAGCAGTTCATGTGCCCTGGCTACTGCAGGCTCGAGGTGTGGAGAAGTGAGGCAGTCTACAGGCACTGGGTGGGCCAGAAGCATTTTGGGCAAGGGCCGTGAGTTGAGCCTCCTTTCTGGTGAACCCTGTAGCAGGAAATAAGCCATTAAAGATACATCAGGGACACACAACTACCTAAAGATATCAGTCTAGTGCTAGGTGGAGTAGATGAGAAGGACTGGCATTTGTTTGTATCCTGTACTAAAGAAAAAACTGAATACCCTATGCTGCTTTGAACTTGAAAGCTATATTGTATGGACATCAGCGTATGATGAGGTAGGGTGTTTTTTCTTGAATAATAGGATCTGAAGAAGCCTACTTGCTTTGCATTTGCCATAGCAACATGTTTATTGCATACCCTGTCACTGTTATCTCCACAGGTGGAGTACTGATAGAGTAGGAATACCAGTACCTCCTATAAGAATTGGGTTGCAAGCAGCTCAAGGTAACGCTGCTCCTTTATGCTTCCTCTTTTTCTTCCCCTCTCTTATGGAAGTTACTGACAGGGCTCTGGGATCTCCTGTGGGCTGTGGGAAGTGTAACACCCCTGTGGAGCAACATGAGTGAACAAACCGAGTAGAGGTTGGCCGTGGGGTAACTGGTGGGCTGTGGCTGCTGCAGATGGCTGAGATGGGTTACAGCAATGCTGAGGCTGATGTGATAACTATCCCTTAGGCGGTGAGAATTCCTTTCTGTTGACCGCAGATCTGCTTCCCCTTTATTCTATTGCTCACAGGGTATTCAAGTGTCAAAATGTAGCATCCAGATGAGTTTCTTTTCCCCTTCTGAATGAAAACATCTGCACTGCTGTCATGACTTGAACTCAGGCTGCTTTGTCACCGTGGCTTTGGGAATGTTTCTGTAAGCAGGACTATATATCGTCTGACACGTTTGTCAAAGTATGCATGCTTTGTTATCTGTGTTCTCCAGAAATGGATGGGAACCCAGTTCTGTCAGGCAATTGGTATGAGTTTTTACAGCTGCAAAAGAAACAGCACGGCTAACTGTGAACTGCTTTAACACTCTTTTTCTGGCTAAAATATAAAGACTAAATATCTAAAGTTCCACCTGTGAAATCAAAACACCTATATGTAAAATGTTCAATTGGAGAATCAGGTAGGATAATTTAAGAGAGGATTATAGCCTTGTTTGGGGGAAGTATAGTGAAGAAGATGCAAACAGCATTGTGTCTGACCAAATCCTAAGGCTGGTGTTCTGCTCAGAACATGAACCCACAGGGCATGCTTCTGTCCCCTGTTCTGGTGCTGCGTGTGACATCAGCTGCCATGTGAGGAGGTCATGGTAGCATCACCCATGGTGATGCCAAGACTGGTGGCTCAGCCCTGTGGTGTTGGTGCAGGAAGGAGTGCAGCCAAGGTGAGAGCTGAGGCTCCTCACTTTGCACAGGAGAAAGTGAAAAAGCAAGATGAGAGGCTTAAGGAATTATGGAAACAGCAAAGAAAGTTAATGCTGGTTGTTCACCAAGCCCTGCAATAGTAGTTAAGGGAAACTTAGCCTGGTGGAGGGTTTGAAGCAGGTAGAAGTACTTTTCATGGGACAGCCCACAGCAGTGCAGGTAAGCAGAGGTTGAAAGTCAGCTCTCTAATCTGAGGTGCTGTTAACTTTTTTAACTTTGTATTTTTAGACAGACTGAACATGTGGAAGGCGTCAGATTCTCAGATACGGGTCAGATACTTGGAGAGATGCATTTCTTGGAATTCACAGCCAAAAGATTTAGTGATATTTGAAAGCATACAGTGGAAGTATTTACAACTGTGCTATCGAAGACAAAAGCATAAAAAAAGCAATTAGTCCTATCGTAGGACATTCCAGAGCAGTCTCAACTGTCAGTCTCTGAGCCTCAGTGGGAGGGGAGGAGTAAGAAGTACTCTCAGCAGGTGTCTTCTGTTCCATAAAAGTTGATCTGTGAGGTGTCTGAGTTTTCTTCACTTTTTTTCTCCGCTCTGTCCATCTGCCTGAAATGCTGTATGGCTAATTTGCCCTATGAGCTGTTGCCATCAAACTGCATCTCGGTTCTGAGGACTTCACCAGTCCTTTAGTCTGATATTGATTTGTTGCTTCTCCTATGCTGTGGGTCTTACAGTACATAGCAACAGAAGGACTGGGAGGTGGAGGCTGTGGATTTAGTTTCCCCATGATGAGGCCAGTAGAACCAGCTTTGCATGTTAAGCGCAGCTGCTTAGAGGGTTTTCAATTCATTTCTGTGCTGAAATATTTTGATTGAACAATACAAAACTAGCTGTGGCAGGCCTCTGTAGCTCAGGCTTATGCTTGCTTTTGGCGTGTGTGCTCAGACAAGAGTCACAGCGATGGTCCCTCAAGATATAAAAGAAGTGAGGTTGCTGTTTTCTGAGGATGAGTGTGCCCTGCAGCT